TTCCCAGAACTGTTCCTGCCGCAAAATATCATTTACCATCACCCTTCTAATGTTGGAGGAACACGGTGACAGAATTAGTACGCTGCTGGCAAACCAATACTAGCAGGGAACAAGAAGCAGAGAGAAAAGGCCAAGTGTGCGTATCTGCAGGCTGATGTGATTCTAGCTACTACAAGGGTGTCGGTTCAAATTTACGGAGGTGAAGGACATGAACCTCCCTGAGGAAATTTCCAGAAGGGCTGCTCTGAAAGGAATGCAAATCTGCTGACATTTACATGTCTTCAGTTACTGCGCAGTTTACTTAACCTTTAATTTATGTTAACTCCTGTATTTTATTTAATTTTTTATCCTTCTCAATCAAGTTGTGAAGCAAAAAACAACCACTTGCATTCGTTTCATGTGTGTTCACTGCTGACTTTGAGGACTTATTTGAATAAGTAGCATACAAACGGATGCTCTTTCAGTTTGTTTTTGCATGAATAAATGACTCTCCCATTGCACTGCCATCATCTCAAACCAGGCAGGTCAGCAAAAACTCTGTCAACAGATGAAAAGTGATCTCAGTAAAAATTAATGTTAGGGTGACGTGCTAAGCCAATATCATCCTGTGAGTAAACTTAAGAGTGTAGGGAGTCACACGCATGTTCCTCAAATGACCTTTAGGGCAGCTCATGGCTCAAAGAGGCATCAAGAGTATCAAACACCAAGAGTATCAGATTGGTACGGGCCTTTATAGACTAAAAACAGCTGCCTTCAACAGCACACATACACCGAAAGAGACCACAATCCTCAGCTCTACCAACTCAAGTTTCTTTGTTAGATCCACAGACACAGTGAGAGGCTCTTCAGCGATGACAGAATCCTCTCCACGTTGGTTTCTGCGCTGAGGACTCGTGTTTAGTCATAATTCACCGTAACCACATTCTTTCTGAACCTCAGCGAGATCTGAAATTTTTTGACAGTATGATCTTAGCAGCTTGAAAGGCTCTATAAATATCAGCAAACACTTTGGAAGAGCCTGTGTAATTTTACCCACATGGTGTTGGCTAACACTCGCCATTTTTCAAACAGAATACCGAAATGAAAAAGAATTGTGTTGTGCAATCATAACTCACGCAGTTTTTCTCCTTCTTTCCAGAGCCTCCAGTGTTCCTAAACCTCCTCCTGTGGCACCAAAGGTATTTAAGATTACTTAAAGTTTAACCCGTTGTCTAAATCGGAAAATATATCGCTGTTTAGTTAAGGCGAGGCATGGCAAGCGAAAACTTTGATTCTGACTGGATAGACAGACTGTTAGCTAGTAAAACTGTGTCGTTTTTTGGCATTGAATGAAGAATTCTTTTATTTATTGAATTCATAACAGACAAAAAGAAACACAAATTCACCTGGCATGCCAAGTTCCAGTGCTGTGAAGACTCCTATTTCAGTAATTACACCCGTCTGAAACAATGCCATACGTGCATTTAGTTGCATGATAACCACCTTTGTCTGGGTTTATTTGCTGCATTTACATTTGATGTGTGAAGCATGCTGATGCCTCCCTATTCCCAAATCAAATACAATACATTTTCAACTAATCTGCTCAGAGTATATCATTCCGACAGCTTGTATTGGACGAATCCATTCATCACAACCAGGGAGACATCAGTATAATGTGTGCTTTGATGTGGTTTTTTTATTTTTTATTTTGCATGCTCTTCTCTTGCACCGGTAGGGCGACAGATCAGACATCATAAAACCAGTCGCCATCACCCATCCACCTCCTCCACCCCATCCTCACCTCCACTCCTCAGGTCACTCCACTGCCCCCTACAACAAGGCCCCCAGACCTTTCGGGGGCTGCACCTCAGATAGCCTTACCTCACAGTCCCCTTTTGCCACTTTCATCCCCTCCCCATCCTCGGCCTTTACACCTGCCTCCTCCTCCCACTCCAGTCCTCCTCCTCCTCCTCCTCTTTCTCCACCTCCCGCCTCTTACCCATCTTCTGCCTCCTCCTCCCCCCCTGTCCTCGTCCCGCCTCAGCCGTCGGTGTACAACACACCGATCAACCTCTACTCCACCGAGAATGCGTGTGAGGTGGCCATGGGGCAGAGGCGGGGCCTGTTGGAGAGTCAGGGTGGAGCCCTGCCACTGCAGTTTAATGGGTGAGTGGTGGCTTTGACAACAAGTCGAATGAACTGATCGGTTCTTGGCTCTTTCACATCCCTCCCAACTTTCTTCATGGGAGACAAGATCCCCCCCCTCCCTTTTGTTTCTCTCCTATTATTGCACTTCTGGTCCACATCTGTGTCTGCTTGGTGTCAGTTGATGACTCTCTCACAGATTCGGCTCATACTATTAATACAAAATGCATGTTGAAACCAGTTTGTGCAGTAGCCAGCGTTTGTTAGCAGCATCTGTGTTTGTCTCATAGGAAGGGAAAAGCTTCAACTGAACTATATTAGTGTTAACTTTTGAAGTTTGCACCAGACCAGTATATAGTTTATAAAAAAATAAACTTCTGTCATCATTTACAAAAATCGGTGAAGCATTTTCCCAAGCATTTTTTTGTAAATTTTATTTTTTTTAAGCGTTCCTAACTAAAAACTGTCCTCTGATCGTGCTTGCCAGACTATGAAATCTTGGACATGATTTGCGAAATTCTTCCACATCATTAAATCAGACTCAAATGTCTGGTTGGAGTTTTGTTTAGAGGAAGAAAATAAAGCAGCAAAAATACTGTACTCTGCACCCAGTGGCCTCAGTTTCCAGCAGCTGGTTTGCTTTTTATAAAAAAAAAAAAGACCATGTAGCCAAAGAGAAATACCACCAGTTGGGCATTATGTGTTATGTTAAAGGACCTAAAGCAGCAGCCTGGAAACACTGATGTAAACTAAAATGGGTTGTTATGCTATTTGTTTACCGTCGGACTTGTGATGGAACATTTTATACGGAACATTTAATAGCGGTGCTCTTGTGATGGAAAAATTGGGAGGATTGATGGACTTTAAATGAGCTTTTGGAATCCTCTAAAAATAGTTGAACATGCTGTGAGACATAACAACTCAACGGTTATGTGCAGACAAAGACAAAACATGATGAATGTCTTCACCTTGTCTGTTGAAAAAAAGAAAAAACTTTCAGGGTAAAATGTACCCAGGTCTAAGACGTCGGTCCTCTCTGCTTCTGTTTCTTTCACTATCTCTGTCAATTCATCACATTTAATTATTCCCCTGCCATCCTTCACACCCACACTGCCTGCTCCTAATCCTCCCTCTTTTTCTGACTCAAACATAACTCTCCTCTCTCAGGAGGCATAGTGAGTATAACTATGCTATGATGCTGTGACTAAGTTGTGTATATATAGCGTGCTTTGGTAACTTGAGCTATGTGGCATTCTCTTTGCTCTTGCTAAAGGTTTCGAATCCACGTAGATTTACACAAACACTATGCCTCCTCAGTGACTGACACACCTTCATCAGGCCGTTTTGTTCCACTTGTCCTCTCGTGTTTTTCGATGATTGGTCTTCTGCACGGATGCTTTTGATTTATTGCGCTCACTGTACCAAATGGACGGAATATACCCCTTTCTCTGACTCATAATTTCTCCGTTCATTTCGACTTCATCCTCTCCCTCCACTTTTGAAAGTGCTCAGTGGTTTCTCTTTCTGCGGGACTCAGCAGACAGCAGTTGTCTGCACAATATAATTTTACACCATGCAGTTGAACGCACACACAGACACGCAAGCTTCATTTCAGTTGGGTACATAGCCTTCCCCAAGTATCACAGATGGCATTTAACTGCATAAACATATTTTAATAAAGGTTTAACCTGATCTTTCTTATGACTTGTGTGGCTTTATGGCTTACTTTCATCCCTTAACACTCTGAATCCCAAACAGTTTTCTGGATGGTTTTCACATTTTTGCTCAGTGTCATTTTTTTACTGCAATATAATGTTTTGCAGTTCTGTGGAAACAGAAGAACCGTGAATAAACACAGGGAGAACTCAAAGCATGCCTTTTGCTCAGTCTAATGAAGCTGTGATGCCATAAGTCGTTAAACAAAACAAAAACAACAAAAAAGAAAGAAATGGAAGTTTTTTTCTGAATATTGACGAGTACAAGTGCCCACAGATGTTTCCACGTTTGAGAAATAAAGGTGACTCTACTATAGATATTTTCCAAGTCATATATTTAATTACGGGCTGCAAGGTGGAGCGGTGGTTAGTGTCGTTGCCTCGTAGCAAGAAGGTTGCCAGTTCGCATCCCAGTGAGGACACCCGGGATCTTTCTGCGTGGAGCTTGCATGTTCTCCCCGTGCAGCGTTGGTTCTCTCCGGGTTCTCTGGCTTCCTCCCACAAGGTCCAAAAACCTGTTGAGGTTAATTGGTGATTCTAAATAGTCCCTAAAGTGCCCCCTGCCTTCACCCTGAGTCAGCTGGGATAGACTCCAGCCCCCCATGACCCTAGTGAGGATTAAGCGGTGTATAGATGATGGATGGATGGATATTTAATTACTTTCATACTTGTCTGATGTCTGCTCTGAATAAACACAGCCTGCAGCTAAGTCCAGTTCAGCCAAAAATGTTCCTGAATTCTGACTTTTGGTTGCAACTGAATCACTAATGGATTGTCTTTTGTTTACATTTGTCGATTTATTAATTAATTTTTTTAGATAAATTTTGCGATTTTGCACGTCGATTTGGTTTCCCAGCATAACAGCACGTCACAGAGAAGTAGTTCAAGAACCAATAAAAAGCTGAGCATCCAAAGATTCTCTCTACTGTGATTCTACCCTACCTGTGGTAGTCTTGAATAGAAAACATGTATTTCAAACCTGCCAGCAGGTTTTGGGGTTCAGAGTATTAAATATTTTTATCTCAGTGTTCTTTTTTTTTAATCCTCTTTGCGTATATTTCCAGTAGTAAACCGAGGAGCGATTGCAGTAATTGTTTTGGTCATTCAGAGCATATAGATTCACTGGTACTGATGATCAGTGAATAGAAGCAGGTGTCATATTGCAGAGGCACTGTCATCAGTTATGATTTGCACAATTATGCAACGCCAATTGTTTACTGCTCTCTCTTTTACAGTATTAGTGAATCTATTTCTTTTATTCTGGTGTTGAGATACAAACACACGGGCACTGTGGGACAGCATGTGTGTCCATCCTTGCGTCTTGCGTGCTTGTTTGCATGTCCTAAATGAATCGTGTGGTTTGTTTCAGAGGGGAGTGTTGAATGATATCTGTCAGAGTTTTTTATTGTTAGACTTTATACATGTCAGTGTTTCCTGTCAATCTCTCTTTCTTTCAATCCTTGTTTTTCTGCTTTGCAGACTGCAGCACCTCCTCCAGTCACAAAGTTAGTCTCTGAAGCATGTCAAATTTGAAGTGTTTGACTGTTTTCCTCTGTGGCCTGTTCACCTTTCTCTGTGCATGCTCACCTACTTTGCTGTTTTTATTTATTTATTTTTTTAGCAGTTTACGTAAGATTTGACTTCTTATGTTTTAAGGTCACCTGTAGTTAGTGAAACATTATTCATCATCTTTTTTTTAAACAAGATTACTACCAGTGATGTTCATGTTTACATGCACAGACTGCAGCACTTTCAGCTGATTACCAAATGATTTTGATGAATGATTATTTTTAACCTCAACTATTTTTATTGGCGGAGTGACATTCAAATGCAAAGCCCCAACCACACTCCCTCACACACACAGGCTATATTGTCAAATACTTTCTAACACTAAGTGTGCGACCAGGCTCACATAGAGCTGTCAAGGCTGCCACACCCGCATGGCTGCTGCTATAACAAGAACGTGTTGAGAGACACTCATAAATCAGCCCATTCACTGTGTTAGGTGAGTTTGTAGATGGAAGTGTATTTATAGGTGATTTATTGACAGCAGTGCTTGGGAAATCCTTAATGCCCCCCGTGTGTGTAAATGTGTGTGTGTGCGTGTATTTGTCCTAAGAGTTGATTTACTGACAACCAATTAGTAACAGGCCTGTCAGCACTCTGCTGTCATGGAAGACTGTGGTTGTGCACACGCTTACTGCACATGTACATTCAGAATTATGCGTCGCTCCAAAAGTGCATGTTTTGTCAGTGTTATTTGGATAAAAAACAAACCCTCAAATGTTCATGCCTTCCAAAATGATGAATGACTTTCCTTTTATAGGATGTCAGACAGCTGAACAGCACCACCATGTGGTTCAAAGTAGAACTGACTCAATCTGTTCCTCATTCTGATGGATTGTTTGGTTTAGTTTTATGCATGCAGTTTAGTTTTTTCTTCCATATGTTTTTTTTTGTTATCTCTTTAATTACTAACATTTCCTTTAATAAATTCCTCACAAGTGAATATATTTCTCTTATTTCTTTCTGTACCTCACCTTCAGTGGACCTCACAGTATTTTGAAGTAAGTCTTTTCACAACTGTCTCCTTATGACTTTGTTTAATGTTCCCCTGCTGTTAGTTCTTCTTTAATCTGTTTCCCTGTGTCCTATTTTTTCCCCCCGTCATTGGTTTTCAAGAAAACCTCTGCCACCAAGGTATCAGATTGTTTTAGACTTTCACACCAAGTACATTTAACAAAGTGTGGTGTGATCTTTGCCCCTTGTGTTTGTCTAATAGGTTAAAATTGTAGGTAGCTGCTTTAACAGTGTGTTATATTATCATCTCATATAACCTACAGTCATCTAACAGTTCTATTCATGCACTCTAGCTGAATTATTGTGTACAGAAATAATGTCATCACATGTACTGCATTTAAAATCCTTAAAACACATTTTCAATCTCATCAGTCTTCGTGTCTGTTACTTTGAGAGATTGTATGTAAATTACTGGCGTATTTCCTGATGTCCTTCCCTTCTTTTCTCTCATGTCAAACCTCAGAGTTCCCAGGAAGCACATTGTGGATACAGACATCCATTTTTACCACGTGCCCACTCACGCTGATGCCAGCAGAAAGCGCATCACGGAGGACACGGAGGACTGGCGCCCACGCACAGGCACCACCCAGTCCAGGTCCTTCAGGATTCTAGCTCAGATCACCGGCACTGAGAACGGTACGATACTGACTGATTGTGGGTTTTTTTTGAGTCATTAAACATATTTCAGATTATAAACTATTGACTAGTCCTGAGAATCGTAACGCTGAATGACCACAGTATTGTTTTAGAGAGCACTTGTTAATATTTCTAATCTTTCCTTGCAGTTCAAAATGAAGAAGCTGACACAGCCAAGAAGACAAAGTAAGTGCATGACGATGGAAATGCTTCTGTTTTGTTTGTTTACATCATTTAATGTAACAATGCATATCCCAGATAATCTGATCTTAGTGCTGTTTCATTTAACCTGCTCAGCTGAATGTCTCTAACATATACCAGCTACATTTATGAAAATCAGAAAATCCGACTCTAAATCTTTGTGGCACTGCTCTGGCTGCCACATGGATGCTGTGTGGGCTCTTCCTGTCTAGACAGCAGAGAATGGATCAAATTTGATCCATTAACTCAAAAACCAGACCTCTGTGTCCCGTACAGGACATCAAATCCTAATTCCTCCAAAAGCTCAGAGCTCAAGCTCAAAGCTGATGGTTGATTTTAAACGTATCAGTAGCTGAAAGCTTCTCCATCTGTGTTTACCAATCAAAGTGTATTTGAGACGGTTGTCGTGCTCCATGGTTGTGGTTGTTTGTGGGTGTGACAGCCTTGCTGTGCTGCATGTTGTATAACCTGTGATTGCGTGGTTGACAATCATGGGCGCATTGTGGTTTTCTTCTTGTGTGATGTGATCCATCGGCTGTCCATTCGATCATGGTGGTTTGTGGCGACACATGTGATCACTGTGTGTCTGTGATCACTCATGTTAACATGCACACATTCCTGCCGACTGCGGGTGTTGGTGTGTGGCTTCATGGTTGAATTAATTCATATTTTTCAGTCCGTAGTGACCGTGATTCATGGGTTGTGTTTGGACATGATAAAGATGAAGTCTTTTGACTCAGTGGTAAACTGTGGTCTGCATATTGCTTACAGTTTCTTTCATTCTCTGTATAGATTTTGGTCTTTTTTTTTTTTTCTGATGATGACAGAAAAACTGTTCATCTCCACCACATCTAAATGTTTTCTGTGTATCATCAGTCTGATTCATTGGTAACAGCTCCGTCTGTGGCATCATGCTTTCCCTGCGGCATGGCTTATCTGATTGCAAATAGTCAGGCAACTATTCTACTTTTCCCTAAATCTTTCTTTTGTTTCTCCTGCGGTGTCCTTTTCTCTTCTTTTTTCTCTCCTTTTACTTTCTTGTGCTGGATGGCAGAGTGAACAAGACCACCACTCGGATGGTGATTGGCCCCAAGTACAACGAGCTGAGAGACTGGCACCACGGAGTGTCTGCTCGCACCCTCAATGTCCAGTAGACTGTGTGTGTGTGTGTGTGTGTGTGTGTGTGTGTGTGTGTGTGTGTGTGTGCGTCTGTTGTGTGTGTTTGTGGGTGCGACTGACTGTCTATGTGTGTGTATCCAAATATACCGGTTGTTTATGAAACAGACTGTTGAAGGGATAAAAGCTTGTGGACTGATGGGAATAAAGAAAGTACAAGAAAGAATACTGGCGTGAGAGCTTGCCCATGAACTGTCGGAGTCTCTCTTTGTGTATGTGTGTGTGTGTGTGGGCTTGTTGTTCACTGTTTGCATTGTGCTCAATCCTTTCATTAAGTATATGTTGCTTATGTGCTCAGCCCACTCCACTGATTCCAACCCTGAAGGTATAACTGCGAATATATAGACTTTTATCAGTGTCCTATTCCTTCTCATTGATTTACTTGCAACTTCATACCGATGAACACCAAAGCATTAAAACCAGCTGTAAGGAGTCAAAGTAAACTTGATGCCTTGATACCTGTGTTGCAGGGGACATATTATAAATCAGTTAATATGCCTTGTGTGGCATCAGTTTCCAGCATTACAAAGTGAGAGACAAGAAATCCAGAGCTTTTCATTAAAAGAGTGAAATCTTGAGGGACAAAAACAAGTAGTGTGGACATGTTCAGTCATATATGCAAGTGCCTGTCAACACCTCTGCCCACCTCAGTCTTCACTATAGTGTGTATGCAGATTATATTGTATAGAGCATTGATGCTAGCTGGGTTAGCAACACTGTACAGGATCTGTTTGGTAATAAGAAAAGCAAAACAGCCTGAGATGGGAAGTTGCAGAGACTTTATGAATCAGTCAGTTTGCACATATTTTGAAACGTATAACAACGACAGGACAGGACATTCATATGGGGGCATTATTGTAGCCAAACTATTAGTCCATGGAGAGTCTGTCTGTATCTCAATCCGTTCATCCGAAGTGACATTTGTCAACGTGTAAAAGAAGTTGTCAATGCAAACTGGAATCTGTAAAAGTCGTCTCACAATTTGTCTGTAATCAGGTTTTCAAATATGTAAAAAAATCTGCTCATCTGAATTAAAATTCGGACATGTAATAAGAGTTGTCAATACATACAAAGAGTTGTCAACACGTTCAGAGGTATTTGCACTTGAAAAGTCTACGCATTTTCTCAGTAGCAGCTACGATGAACGATCCTGTGAGCCTGAGCTCAGGACACAGAAACCCTGATGTTCAGATAGTCTTCAGTTTCAGATCTGTCACGGTAGAAGTGAAGCAAAAGTCATGTGTGAAAAGACAGCCAATGGTGAAGCTTCTCGACTCAAATACGTAGACTTTTCAACCACAAATACCTCTGTATGCACTGACAACTCTTTGTGCCCATTGACAGCTCTTATTACATGTCCGAATTTTATTACAGATGAGCAGATTTTTTACACATTTGAAAACCTGATTACAGACAAATTGTGAGACGACTTTTGCAGATTCCGGTTTGCATTGACAGCTTCTTCTACACATTGACAAATCTCACTTCGGACGAACGGATTGAGATACAGACTCTCCATACGCATGGACAAATAGTTTTGCTACTATAATGCCCTCATACATCCAAATGTATGAACAGTAGAAACACAGAATCCTATTGTGGAAGTCTGTTTTCACACCACTGAGAGAGAAACACATAAGTAATTAACTCATAGTACTATTAATCCTAAATGCATTACACTGATGATCCAGTGTTGCCTTCTGCGCTATTACAACTCAACATGTGGAGTATAAGGGAAGGTGTGTGGTTTGTAGGAGGGAGTCTGTTTCTGTAATTACTGAAAATATCAAATCTGTCCTTGGTCTGCATGAGTGTGCATTATGTATGCTCCTTTACATCACTTGGACTGTTGTGTAACTGTATGTTGTGGACGACACTTTCTAGAAGTGTAAAGCTTGTTTACATCTGTTGTGTCTACTAGCGTCTGAAACTACATATTTATGAACACAGTATCTTGAAATATGGTGCCGTCTGAAAAATTGGAAGAGATTTCAATTTGTCATGCATGTATGTACAGTATATATAAACCGATGTGTGCCACGCTGCAGGGATGAAACACTAGAGACCGGCTTGAGACATGTGTTCGCTATAAGGTACTTGCAAGTAAGGAGAGCTCTTTCCAGTGAGCAGGTTGTTTAGGATTGATTATGTGCAACGTGACTGTAAAAATGCTATTTTGAGGCCTTTGCTATGTAAAATATTTCCCCAGTGCCTTCGCTTTTACTTCATCCCTACGTTTACTTACTGCAGAGTATTCTACAGTTGATTGTTTTTTTCTTGGTAGATCATAACCAGCATTTTGAAAAGAGCTGGAATCTAGAGGTGTGTTTTAAGTTTGAGAAGTATATATTGTAGCTAATAAATTGATGAAGTTTTTTCTTGTTTCCTTTTCTCTCTGTTTCTGGTGTCCACTTCTTTCTCCTCCTTAGTTCCTTCATTCTGTCCTCTTCTAGCTGTCTCGCTGAGTCTGAGACAAACAGTGAGGAGGTCAGGTATAAATCGTCACCGAAACCTTTGACACCTTTGTTTCACCTTTTCACCCTTTTACACTTTAGAAATCAGTCACATAAAGGCCCTTTATTGAATCACCTGACTGACATCTTCTAGTTTGCTGTGTAGAAATGTCAAAGTAATGCTACAGACTCAAACTAATTCCTGAAGTTTTAGTTAAATGTAATGTTATTTTTGGCAAGGTACTGAACTGACCTCACTCAAGTGGATTTCATGATAGTTTTTTTACACTTCGCTTGACTAAAATAAACTTAATTCTGATCACACCAGTAACACTATTCTCTGTTATCTGCCAGTGACAGATCTCCAGCAAACCAATCTTCCGACCAAGTAGGTGCTTCACTCATAATGTTTAATGGCCTGAATGAGGCCACCTCTCATCACACTGGCCAACCCCAACCACAGGTAGAAGGCTCATCCACCAATCAGCACTGGTCAGAGATCAACGCTGACACTGACGTCCCCTTAAAGAGCCAAAATCAAGAGAATGAATCATCTACAACACACCTGGGTTTAGTTTCTGTCCCAATTTTGTATTCAAATTCTGTTGACGTGTTTTGTCAAACATCTAACATGAGCTATCCTTTAGCTCAGATGCTGGTACCTGCAACATATGATGCTTCAACAATTAGCCAAATACCATCAATTAACTCTCATACTTGTAGTCTCTCAGATGCACAAAAGCCAAACGACCCCTTTCTTGATGCAGTCCTTTTGCCAGCCAGCATGCCCCATTCTTTGTTTGAGCCAAGTCCTGGAGGTACCCAGGTTCCAGCATCCTTTTTGTCCGTTTGTAGCATTTTACCTGCCCAAACAGTTGGACTAAGCGCCTTATGTGGCAGCAGTTCTTTATCAGCTCAAAACCGGCCACCAGAGACCTCTTCTGATTCAGCTCCTGACCACAGACCAGCTGCTTCGGATAATACTCTCAATGCTACTCCAAGTTTTCAGCTGCTCACTGCTGAAAGGTACGCTGAGCTTTGAGTGTTCTGTTAAAACATACAAGGTCAAAAACATTTGGGCTGCAATCAAAAGCGTCTTTTCACATGCTTTTTTTTTCCTTTTCTTTTTCTTTTATGCTGGGGTCCAGCAGTTCTCCTTTGGCACCACTAGAGGACAACACCAACTCAGAAAATGTTGAGTCCAGTCACTGTCTGACTGGGCATGATGGTGATGACCATAGAATAATTACCGCTGCTACTGAGTGTCTAAAGACAGAACAGCTTGATATTTCATCTCAACACAGGTGCTGCACAACTATTCTGAAGCAAACTTTTTAATGACAGTTCATTCAGCAT